AGGCAAGTCGATTGACGAGGTTGTGAACCTTAGCCGACTGAGACAGCTTGAAAATGTACTCAGCATAAGGATTCATCGCCTACCTCACTGGATTTGGTTGAAAGAAGACTCAAGGTTACCATTCTAAAACTGAGTACCAGTTCATGAAGTCTCTGCCTGTTGTCTTGAGCCATGTAAGGAGATGTAGACCACCTGGTTGGGGTCCGTAAGACGATAAGAATCGTCTACTTTGATTTCACTCCTCTTCTGTCCAACTATTCTTTTTGTACCTCTTTTATGTGTGATAACTTAAGGCGATACACTTGTATGCTAGGTTGTACGTTGATTCTATTTATTTTTCTGTCTGAATAAGTCAGCTAACTCCTTCGGAAGAGAAGCATCATGAACGCTGGTCAACTCAGATAACTGGGACCTATTCCATATGCCTAATCACAGTCTACTACATCACACGATGTTAGAGGAAATGGGTTTAGACTGGAAGAGGGTTAAAGGCACCCTATCTAAAACCTTGGCATCAGTTTTTGAGTGTTGGTAAGCAAGTATAGACTTCGTAGTAGAAATGCGTGTGACAACCAAAGTCGGTGGTTGGAAACTCTCTGTGATAAAGCTGAAAATCGGTCTCAGTGACGTAGATGTATCCCCACATAATCTTTAATCTTGATTGTTATACCAAATATCATTGCAGACAATAAATGTGGCAAAATGGATCATACCCTCCATTAACTTTCACTTTTTTTTGCAGTGTTAGTGTCTAATTGTGAAAGCGCGAATAAGTATGTACATTAGACCGCTTGAGGTTCTCTACCTGAATGTACCATGATAACATTTTAACAGTACCATAAAGAATATTGCGAACGTGATATATTCATAGTCTATTGTTATTCACCACCCTAGAAACTGATAGTTTCTATGATACTCACTGATTGAATTCTGTATTCATTGCACTTATGTAGAGATGTGAAAAAGGGACATGTAGTAATCAACAATCGGATTACAATCACAAAAGTTCTGGTAACAGATAGAATAGCTGTACTCAGAGTTTCAGCTGACAAGGTCATATTACTTATTCTTTAACCTTTTTTATCGATAACACTGAAAAATGGACTTATTTAATGACAGTTTGAAGGTGTATGCCTTCAGTTAAGAATACTGACTAATTAGTGTTATTTACCTGATGGTAGCTGACAGTAGGATCTAGGATGTGTGCTCCTTCGCATTCGGTACTCATCAACTGGAGGTACTTGGATCCCTGTGTCTCACAGTGTTCTTGATAATAATTTGAAACCAGCACTGTTGGTTTCAAAGATCGGGATTTTTGACACCAATATCAAGTCAGTGCTGCTATGTGGTGGTTCAGAAACTTGGCCTGTCACAACAAGCATTTCCAACAAACTACAGATGTTCATCAACAGCTGCCACATACTCTCACTGGACACTGAAGAACATATGGTCAGAATAATGAGAATAAACAAGAAGGAACTGACTCTAACAACAAACCAACCAAGATCCTATCACCCAACAAATATGTAGTGGGAGGAAGTGTAGATGTAATGGGCATAGACTGAGAGGGTGGATTGGAGACATCATGCGCCATGCCAGACTAGGTGCTCTAGTGTAATGGGAATGGGAAACGACGAGTTGAGCATCCGAGGTGAGGGTGACGTGTAGGAGATGATGTGAGGAAGAAATGAGAGCTTGTGAGCAGAGGTGGAGAGAGGTTTAAAAGACTGTAGATAAGAGAGTGGAATGTAGGTGTTTTACTGAGGCGGTATGTTCCACTTGGAACCCAAGGGAAAAATAATGGTAATAATTATCGGTTCTCAGTTTATCATCGATGTTTTAGAGAGAAGAGTAAACCAACTTTCGCACCATTAGCAATTTCATTCAAGGAGTTGCTTAGACTCTAGTCTGTGAGATTTTTACTAGAGATCTTAAAATTGCATTCCTACACATATCAACGACTGGGTTGACAATATCAAAAGAAATAATCCTTTTTATGGGAAGTATCTATCCGAAAATAAGTTTATTCGCACCAATACATACTAGTTAACACTTCAATCGTCAATCTCAAGGCCATTTTCATACAGCCGGAAGTCTTAACTGGTTGAATCCTGAAGACCAAAAGTCATTTCCAGCTGAAGAACGCAGCCTGCTTCGCTCAAATAATCCTCCATCCAAACTGAATCCATGAACAATATTTGAACGGGATTATGAACTCGATAAATGAACCTTATTTATTCCTACTATCCTGTAGGTTTACCTGCAGATTGTAAGAATGGCTACCTTGTGAAACTCCTGAAGAAAGGTGACCCAAGTCTTTGCAAGAACTGGAGTGAAATCATGCTGCTGTCCATCCAAAGCAAGCGAAATATTAAGCCACATCATCCTGGAGAGACTAAAGGATGCGCTGGATTCAAAATTACGACCAGAACAAGCTGACTGGATTCAGGAAGTACAAATCATGTGCGGGCCGAATTGCAATGCTTCGCATCATCATAGAACAGAGGATAGAATGGCAGTCAACTCTCTACCTCAACTTCATCGCCTTTGAAAAGGCCTCCGACAGCGTCGACCGACAAGTAATCTAGCAGCTGCTTTTACACTACGGAATATCACATACCTTTATCAACCTCATTCAACAGCAACTATATGAAAACACCACATCCCAAGTGATCCACGATGGAAAGATGAGTGGTGCCTTTGAAGTGAATACAGGCGCGAGTAAGACAAGGCTGTCTACTACCATCCATGATCTTTTTGATTGTGGCCGACTGGGTCATATAGCATACCCGTGAGTCGCAAGAAGATGATCATATACAGTTTGAACGATGAAAGGACCCTAGAAGATTTGGATTTCACCGATCACTTGTGTCTAATGTCACACAAACTGGAAAATCTACAGGTGAAAACTAACAAGTTGACAAAAGAGGCAGGGCAGCGAAAACAGGATTTCAAGTGAATGTAGAGAAGACACAGGTGATGATGATACCCAACCAACACCACCAAAAACAACAAGCTCCAATCACCATAAACGAGAGAAACTTAAAGGAAGTAGTCTCTTTCACCTATCTAGTCAGGGCAGTACTGTTTCAACTACAGGTGGCACAGGCACAGATGAGGACGTCAAATCCAGCCAGGATCAGAAAGAGAGCAAGACAGGCCTTCACGAACCTATAAGCAATGTGGAGATCTTCTGCACTGCACTCAGCATAAAGTGTGAACAACATCCTGATTTTCAGCACCAATACCAGTCAAGTCAGTGCTTCCATGTGGTGGTTGAGAGACTTGGTGGATTACGAAAGGGATTTCCAACAAACTGCCAATATTCATCAACAACTGCCACCTATGCTGTCTCGTTACTGAAACTCAGATGGTCAGAATGATAAGGGTGAGCAACAAGGAACTCACTGTGTCTGGCAACGAACCAACCGTAACCTATCGCTGAATAAATATGCAGTGGAGGGAAGTGTAGATGCATTGGGTAGGCATTGAGATGACCATTCGTGGACATCACGCGCCAGCCTAGGTGCTAGATTGGAACCCAGATGGGAAACGGTGAGTTGGGCTTCCGATGTGAGGGTGACTGGGATGAGGTGGTGTGAGGAAGAAATGAAAGCTTGTAGGCAGTCGTGGAGCCATGTTGGAAAGATTGGAGAGAAGAGAGTGTAATGGAGATATGCTACTGAAGTGGTATATTCCACTAGGACCCAAGGGACAAATAATAATAACTTGAAGCATCGATAAAATGATACACATTTAGATGACAATGTATAAAGTGGTTAGTTTTGATGTAGTTAGTTTCTATATCAACTTACTTAGTGGTATTTCTCTGAAAGCAGTTGGAGATGGGTTCAATAATGACTTTGAACTAACAGTAAGAACTAAGCTATCAGTAGATGACATCATTTTAGGAGTACAGCTATGAATAACTTCCACAATATTTAAGTTACAGAATAAAGTATACAAGGAAACGAGAGTTACCATGATATCACCAATATCCCTTATCATGGCTCATATATTTGTGGATAGTTGGGAACGGGTTGCTATGGGAACATTTAATCCTGCCGTAAAAGTGTGTGTTTCGATTTGCCAGCTTGCCTGGTGAGATATCTGAATATCTATCAAAGAATGAGTATAGTGCGCTGCAGTCCGTTCTCTCCTGTTGTACATTTGTAAGACATGGCCATTGAAAGTAGAAGACATGAAGCTCCTATAGGTGTAAGACCAAAGATATTCTCATAGGATTGTTCTCGTTTGATATAATCACCGTGTGAACAATGTTCAGGTTAAGCGAAGGGTACTAGAAAAGGAAGGAGAGCCAACTGATGTGGTTATGCACCCTCAACGACTTAGTCACACATGCTAAACCACAGTCTACCTTGATGTATATTGCTAGGAGGGGATGGATTAGGTTGGAACAGTGTTCAGGATGCCAAGACCAAGACATGGAACTAGTTCATTAAATCCCTAGCTGTTGGTGTGAGCCACATGGAGCAGTGTAAACTGTCTGACAGGGGTCGCTGAGACAACAGACATCAGTGGTAGAGGACCATTGGCGAAATCCTTAAAGATCAATCACAATGGCGCTGATGTATTCACTCTTTGACATCTCAAGCTTGAATGCATATATATGTCTGGTAAAATTGTAGTGGGTGTTGCTGATTAGAATGGATTTAAGTAGTATATATTGAGAGGGCGACAGAAATCATAGAGAATTACCAGCAATAGGTAAGGATTCCGCCGAGAGAAACGCAAGTGACAACGCAGGCGTATAAAGAGTAAATCAAGAAAGAAGCAGGAGAGAAAATGAAGCACATTATGAAAATGATGGTTTTAGTGAAAGGTATACCATACAACTACTATGCCACTTGTTGACGGCAAACATACCTTCCTTCCTTCCTCACTATCTATCTTCTCGTTTCTTTTCAAAATTACAAACTATCTATTCCATACTAATTACATGTTATAATAACTACCTTAAACAACATAAAAACACTTACATATCATCACTTATACTGATCTGACTGAATAATCTAACCTACTTTACATTATAAAGTGGTCATAATTCATGACATAAAATGTGTTCAACCAATCAGATAAGTCGCTTCACTTATAAATGACACACTACTAAGATCATTTCATAAAAATCAATTTACATTTTTCGGTCATTAGTTAGATAGATGCATAATGTCATAGATAACCGAACATAAAATAAAAAGGTTATCATTTTGTCTATCTGAGATTGTTGTCCTAGTTTGGCAGACTGGTTGGTGATAAGCATGAGGTTGGAAACCTTATGGTTGGTGGTTCGAATAAGACCTTGGACTAAATTTTCATTTCATCTTCAATCATCACACAGTATCAATACTACTAGTCTGTCAAACCACGGTAGTTATTTCAGAGAGTAGTCAATATAATGCTCAATATGATATTCCCCTTCTCTAATTCAGTTACATGTAGATTGCGATGAGAAGTCCTAAGTGTGGGCAACCAATGTGAGTACGATAGAGCGGTAGTAGTAATGCGTCAGTCATCATATCACATAGTAGTCGGATAAAACAACTTTTGGCGATTGAAGTGAAATAGAGATGTGGTCAGCAGTTGGACTTGGTAGAATAGTTGGTTGCTGGTTGAAATCCCACTGAAGTCTAAACTTTCAATTCACCTTCAAATAAAAAAAATTGAAAACTATGTCAGGTAATTCTTTTGGCTGTTTGTATCACAGATGTACGTTCATTGATCCCTGGAGAGTAACCAATTTCATGCTGTCTAGTTCTGAGTGCTGACCGATATCAATCAACTATTTTGTAATGCTGTCACTGCGCTAAGAGAATCGGTATCACTGTTTACTTTGACTGATTACATCCATTTGGTTGCAATCAACAAAGGCCCTCGTTGATATGAGTTTCATGGTTGTAGAAACTCATCAACCTTATGTAACTGCAACCTCAAGTGAAGTGATATTACCATTAAGTTGTTGTTCATACTGCAATCACCTTCTTGCATATTCATCCTGTTGACGAGCAGTAGAATCTAGGATGCACACTTCGTCCTAGTTAGGACTCGTCAGCTGGATACATCTTCATCCCAGTGAGTGATGTTGTTCCATTTAAGACCCAAACCAACTAACCACAGCTTCAAATTCTGAAACGTTATCCACGTGGCTATACTGGGTGCAGATGCATCCAGCTGACGAGTCTCAAACAGGACGAAATATGAGTCCTGAATTCTATTGCTAGCAACGAGAAATTGTAAGTATCAAGAATAATATCTTCCTATTTCTCCTACATAACAGCTGGACAGAAATACGTCAAGACTAGGTGGAGAAAAATCATCCACTAACACTCAGCCTGTTTCAATGAACCTAACATAATCTAGAATGAAGCTTTGAACCTGCGTTTCATTCTTATTGGCTTTCATCAGCAAGATGTGCTTACAACCCCCAGGAAACTCATGTTCTTGCTGATATCCAAAACCAATTCGTGCAGTATTGCAGTGAAAGTCATTACCATGAAGCTATTTGGGTGATGAATGATCTCATGTGGCGTTGAAGCTAATTTTAGTAGCTTGTTTCAATGATACTTCATAATGATGATATCTCTGATTTCAGTACTAAGTGACACAAGTTTGAGCCTCTAAATCGATTTCATTTCCCTGAAGGTTGCAGATAGACTATGCTGAATCCAGAAAAACTTCGTGGATCAGCACTTTCTGCTGCTTAACACCAACCAAATTACTTCGAATAATTCGCTTACGTCTATTGTGAATTCAGAAGTACAAAGAAATGACTTGATGAAGTAATCTTGTATCTACTCGGAGTATGTCATTTATTATTATATTATTATTTGTCCCTTGGGTTCCTAATGGAACATACCGCTTCAGTAGCACGTCTCCACTCCACTCTGTTCTTTGAAATCTTCTGAACCTGGCTGAACGACAGCCCTCAAGCTCTCATTTCTTCCGCACACCATCTCCTACATGTTACCCTCGGACACCCAACACGTAGCTTCCCATCTGGGTTCCACTTGAGTGCCTGGCCTGACGCGTGATGTCCCCAGTCGGACTTCTCAGTGTATGCCCAATCCATCTCCTCTTCCTTCCACTGCATATTTGTTGAGCTATAGGTTCTTGTTTGATTCATTCCCAGAGTTCCTTGTTGCTTATTCTTTCTGGCTATCTGATCTTCAGTATCCAGTGAGCGTAGGTGGCAGTTGTTAATGAATGTCTGTAGTTTGTTGGAAATCCCTTTTCTTAACACTCCAAGTCTCTGAACCATACAAGAGCACTGACTTGACTGGTATTGGTGTTGAAAATCCGGATCTTGTTCACGGTTTATGCTGAGTGCAGAAAATCTCAACACTGGTTTCAGGCTAATGAAGGCCTATCTTGCTTTTCCGATTGTGACTTTGATATCCTCGTCTGTGCCGCCTGTAGTTGAGACAGTACTGCCCTGACTAGATAGGTGAAAGAGACTACTTCATTTAAGTTTCTCTCGTTTATGGTGATAGGTGCTTGTTCTTGTTAGTAGGGTATCTTCATCACCTCTGTCTCCTCAATATTCACTTGAAGTCCTGTTTTCGCTGCCCTGCCTCTTTTGTCAACTTGTTAGTTTTCACCTGTAGATTTTCCAGTTTGTGTGACATTAGACCCAAGTGATCGGTGAAATCCAAATCTTCTAAGGTCTTTTCATCGGTCAAACTATGTATGACCATCTTCTCGCTCCTCACTGTTTGTTGAGTTTTTCATAGACATGTAAAATAATAGATCAAGTATCAGGGATTCCATGAATATTCTATCAAGTCGTCATACGGCCTATAATAATAATAATAACGGTTTTATTCTGAAAGATATTTCAGGAGTACTGTGCACAATTGGCAGCATATCATATAGGGCTGACTGGACAGAAACCTTGTATATGTGTATACATATACACATAACAGCTAGCTGTATACTCCTTAATTAGTTTACTTTCCTTGTACAGGAGATGAGCTAAATACACTAGTGTCAAGTTTTTATACTTAGTAGTATGTGTATAAAGTCATATATACTTGATGACCAGTATGGAGAGAGATTTGAATGAAGAAGATGCTTGTCATCTGATAGAATACCTCATGTCAGATGTTTACATGAGTTAATATATTTGTTCACAACAGTTTTAGTTGGAAGGTCTACAGGTACACCACTAGGTCTACTGAAAATCTTCAAAGTTCTACGGACAACACAGTATAGCCTTTTATCATCAACCCATGAAAGAATAAAGCGGAGCAATCGAGGATAACAGATAGGACGTAGGAGTTTATACAACATAAGAGAAGAGGTTAAGTTATACCAGATACTCCCAACTTCGTAATATAGAAAGTTAGGCAGAGAATTCTTTCAGAAATTAGTAAGATATGGAGAGGATCATGGAAACTCAGGAGAAAAACATACGCCGCGATAAATCACACGTGTGACATTCACTAATGCACAACCATCCATGGGAACAGGAATCATGAGAACTAAGTAGTTTATAGTCTGACATTTTGGAGAATTAAGCATAAGACCATTCATGGAGGATCCTCATCTAACAGCAGGTATGAAATCATTCAATTGAAGAGGAGATAGGTATGGAACATGTTAGGTCATCAGCATATTTGATGAAACTGATACCAACTACAGACAGTAAGTGATACGGAAAAACTAAAGTCATTTGGCAATGAAGTGGAGCACTTTCTTCTTCGTCAAGAGTACATTATTTCCTTTCAAAGGAATAGGAATACAGCCAGATGATTATCCTGGAGTCAATATAAGTCCCATCTAGCTTGTCCAATAAAAAAAATCTTCGGACAGCATGAAATACTGAAGTATAGCCTAAAAAGATGCATCTAACATACTTGTCATATCTATCAAGATTACAAGCAATAACATTTCTTTTACTTTCATAGGCAAATAGATCGGGGTCTCCAAAAGCCTTCAGATTAGGGTTCAAGCCCAAGGATTATTAGCTTGTTGATTATTTTCAAGAACAGCTTGCTTAAATATATACACTAGTAAGTTGTCTATCTAACATATCGTATAACACTTTTTTATTACCTCCTCTGATCGCATTATATATTCACGAGCATTTTAAAAATGTTTACCGCCTTCAGCGATACCATTATCACGGTGGATGACAATGTGCTTTGAAGCGAACAACTTTGTCTCAAATGACTTTGTCTGAAATGATCAGTTCTAACTGCATAGATTACTTACAATCTATTCTATCCTTCAATATGCATCGTAATACTGTAGTAATTACACTTCAAGAAACTTCATTTCGTGATGTTTATGATGACTATTTGATTCCTCCGAATGACTTTGAAATTTTCCATCACAATCGATGTAACTCTACTAAGAAACGTGGAGGTGGTGTAGCTACCTTCAAGAATACCTATTCGTGCATTTCGGGTCGAATATACTTTAAATTCTCAAATATCATCGAAAACATTTGAATAAGTATCACTTTATTTATATCAGAAATATTTATATGACACCTCTGATATATTCACGGAATGCCCAGCCCCTATATTCTGTGATTTCCTATCGATGACATATAATGATCCCACTTCTTGTGACCAAGGCTTTCCAAAACCCGTTGGACATTAAAACCTTGTTAACTTCACAATACGTTAGAATGCAACAAAAACTCGGTATTCATCAATGATATATATATATATATATATATATATATATATATATATATATATATACATTGCGTCATACATGTTCCGCCCAAAATATGTCACAAACTACACAAAACGTACTTCACGTATGAGAATACTGTACATAGAAACCATTCACATAGTAGAATACTTAATCTAGGAGAAATGCTACAATGTATTGACTGCAACATATTTCACAACGATGTTTTGAACAACACTATTGATGGTGTGATATGTTATCTCAGGTTCTGCATGTATATCTGCTACCCCAGTGAAAAATATTTTCTATGCTTAGACAATATATCTCCTCCCCCAGATTAAGAAATT